ATCGCAATGTTCAATGGTATAGGGTTTTTAGTCCCTTCGGCGATCGCCGCAACAGGAGGGATGGCACAAAACTACCGCGGGAAAGGTGGTAGTCACTATACTTCAAGCCTAGAGTTGGCCATGCGGATGATTCAAGGTGAGATCATTTATGATGTCACGTTGGACGAATCACTGATCTCCATCGGTAACCCGTGTACTTCGCCAGTGGCTCTCGGTACTACAGTCGGTCTCTTTACGAGCTCTCTTGTGGTCTACTCGTTTGGAACAAAGAAGAGGGGTGCATTATGGGCATTTTGATGAAAAATTAAATGTATTATGGATGCAAATATTGTATTTGTTACTTTATCTCTGCGGTAGTTTTTGACGAGCTCTGTGGGCTGGCATCTCAATCGAGAAATCTTAATCTCAACTTCAATTATCTCTGCTTCCCTTTCGATCGTTCGGCTCCTTCGCCCGATGTGAAAAAGCCTCTTTAACCGCTATCTTTGATTTGGAGAAGTCAAATCTACTGGTTTGAAGTGAGGGTGCTTGAAACCCGAATGGTCGTCTACCCGATGGCACTCCTCGTGGGCATCCAGAAAGATATTGAAAAAGATACACACAATCTGCCTTAGACCGTGTACCTGTTTGCTTGGTACAATTGTCCTATCGAGCATGATAGGTAGATAGGTTGAATTTCGCGCCGAGATTGTGCGCTTCGCACGACCCCCCCCCCCCGGAATTAAGGATCCTATACAGGCCCCAGGTCATTGCGGGTGACGTGGAGATAGAAATATCCGGAGAGGCTGCAATTAGGTGGCTTGGAGAGTGACGGGCAAAACGGTAATGCGTCGAAGGATCTTCCCGAGATTGTCCATAGATCCGGTCTACTGACTATGCTCTGAATAGGATTCCCCTGTTTTATCCTCCGTATATGTGGCGTGGTTTAATGCCTGTCTCTTAGTTCCAGGCCCACGGCTGCCCACAACGAGAGACGCCGTAATCCTACTCGACACATATCGCGCAATTATGGCGTATAGGCCAACATTTTTACGAGAATAATTGCAAGCACAGTGGTCGCAAGCAAGAGGGAGTGTAGATATGTATAGTGGCACCCATGCCCACGTTGGCTTCTTACTTATCTCTGCTATCCCTTATCTGTATCCCGCTATCGCGCCAATGCTGGGCCTCCGCACCTGACGCAACTTTCCGCCATTCACTACCCAGGCCTCGTTCCTCCTTCGCTCTATTCATTGTACCCAGTAGACCGAAATATGTGGGTTATTTTCCTCAACCCTAAGAGTCACCTGCCCTGATCTCTATTGGAAGTAGGTCACAAGTGAGAGGGAACGAGGCATTTATCACAACGCAGTCTTGTGTCCAAGTAACCCTTCACTGCCTCCAGGTGATTGCGTAGTTCCACTGGGCATTCAACCCCTTATCGCTGTCAATGGTAGGCCTTATACAAAACGATAGCCCGCTACCATAAAAAGGTTTCCATGCTCCATTGAAGCGCTCGATTCGCTTTTTTTCACATCTCTTGCGTGCGTTGTATAGAGAAAGGCAACAAGGCCACGGGAGACACCCTCTTTTTAGGCTTGGGGCCATCACTTAAAAAGGCCGCACCCTTCGGGTACCCAGTATCCTTTTCCCCCTTTCCCCCTCAGCTCCCCTCTTCTGCTGTTCCATCCTTGGTTGCCGAGACTCTGAGCCTCGTATCGCAATCCCTCTTTGAGCCCTCGTCCAGGTACGTTTCTATTCCCCATCACCCGCGCTTCTCATTGACTTTAGTATCTATATCTCCGCCCCAATTCCCATTACATCTCGACTGGTCTTCACTCTCAGTTCGCGATAACTTCCGGAGTCAAATATCCGCAGAAGTGACAGAGTGACCCATCTTGTCCTTTCTCTTCCCCCCGTCACCTTTGGTAAATCCTGCAAAGAATTTTTTTTGCTTGAACTTGGTGAGTGAAATATTGTCTGTCAATGTTCAAAACCCCTTATCGCGCCCGCAGCGACCCAAATGGAACACGCTTCCCTTCTCGATGGCTGGTTGGCTCTCGCAGCTGAAACACGCAGAGTCGACAGAATCTCTGCAGCACTAGGGTGTACGTAACACCCTTCCTTGACACTCTCTCAAATTAATCAATCGAAACCTTCCAATGCGCTTTCGTCCGGGCAGTGGATTCGCCGGCCCTTCAAAATTCTCCGTCGAGCTTGGGCTCATCCTGCGGCTCATCTGGTCTCAATACACCCTCACAAAATGCCTTCCGGATTTTACCTTTTTTAAATGATATTTCACCCGAATTCCTGAACGCCACGTCAATTAAAGCTGTGAGTGCCTCGGCCTTACAACACTGAAAAACTCTAACGCTACACTTTGTCGATATAGAAAAATTCATCATCGACGAGACCTCACCCTCAATCTAAAACCAATAACAATCGCCATAACCCATTGTCGGCACACGGTCGCCGACCGAGCGCGAGCAATCCTTCACGACCGCTAGGAAGAGGTGGTTTGTCCACATCATCTGTACCAACAGCCCCTTCACTGGCTGTATCACGAAAAGAGTCTCCAACTCCCTATGACTCCACACTACGTCGACCTCCTTTGGCCAATAATAGAAACGTCTCGTATCCCACCTGGCCAGCTCCCAAGCCCGTCAACCCGTCCAGTATTCCCAGTGAGATGAATGGTGTTGGTCGTCAAGTACAAGGCTCTCCGTATCCTCCATCGTTCGAGTCTAGAGACCTTCGGTCACCCTTTCAACCAAAGAGTCTAAATGGAAAGTCTTCACCCAATCTATTTCCTCCCATTCAAGACTCGTACTCCCCACAACGATCTGTCAGACACTACAGTTACCAGTACGCTTCTCGACCCGTTGCGATCACGGATGCTGTCTCTCCCATGTTATCTGAGCCATTTCACAGGCTCATCGTGAAGGATGAAGAAGAGATGATCGATTTATCCTCAATGCCGCCGACTACGTCGGACAGAGGCGCCCATGGTGGGCGTGGGGGATATCACGACAACACTTCTCAAGTCTCCTCTCATGTGCCTCGTCCCAGAAAGGAAAACAATATCAATATGGTCACAGAAGACGAGGAGGAAGGTGCATCTTGGTGGTATGTATTCTTTCTCGCCATCCATCCGAAACAACCCTATACCCTTTGCTATCTCTCTTCTGGTTTTCTGACGGTTCTTGCCTCTTCGCTTCTAAACAACAGGGACAGTGACCCTATGAGAGATATGACTTTTGAATTCGACGCAGCTCCTTCTATTCCGGGGTTTCATTCCACGAATGAGCGATTGGAAGACGGCTGGAGAAAATGAAAAGGGACGGTGACAAGTCTGGTGTTTCCGAGGGCTCGTGAAGGGTTTCTTTCTTGTATTTATGTATGGGTACCACACAGAACAATGTATAGAAATTGAAATGTTGAGGTGCTTGTGAAAAGAAAAGAATGAGAACACTCATAAATCGAACTCGTGAGATGCAGAGCAAAAAGGATCCAGCACTTGCGGCCTCTTTTATTTGGGTAACTGTACTATACTTGATTCGGGACTACTTTATAATGACGCAAGAAAAAGAGAAGAGAGATTCAACCAATTCGAACAATGCTGTCCCACCCAAATATCCAAACGCAAACGCGGTGTGCATCATGCAGCCTCTGGGAAAAAGAAAAATAACAGGAGGAGGAAGAGGGAAGAGGGAGAAGGGGAGGAAGGGATTCGGACAACCCAAAAAGAGAAGGAGAAAGCCCAGGTGTATGACAATCTGTATCAGGAAGAACAAGATGAAGTGAACGGCTTTATACGAGGAAGAATTGGGTGGGATAAAGGACAAGTAAGACGAAACGATTGGACCCAGAGAGGAAAATTTGGTTGGTAGAAATACACGAACACCATGATGAATGGCGTAGGGGAAAGAGAGTAAAGGGAGGCATATCCCTGTGTAAAAAGTCTGTTCCCTCTACGAGGTAGAGGTTTGTGAACGAGTTTCAGGGGGTTGGCCAATGTATGGATATGACAATTGTTTGAACAAAGAGCAAACGAGATGGAGTTGTAAAGGAGTGTGAGTTGATGACTAGAGAGCATGTCAGTGGACCGAGTCAAACGGAGAACCAAAAGGGCTCACCTCTGACAGCCTGTCGCAGGAAGAGTTTGCACCGTTCAATATACGGTATCTCGTATCCTGCCAGAGTCACGAGACACCGATGTGCGATGACTGAGAAGAGACACGTGTGTAGTGTGCATCGAGAGCCAAATCCAAAGTGAGAAAAGAGAGAGGAAGATGGAAACGAGTGTGCGAGTATCGATCGGATCGTGTTTGATCGCGATATTACGTCTTCTTCATTCGTAGTTAGCGGCCAGGGATACTAGTTGTGGCAGATTTGTGGGTGCACAAGGTTACGTCTCCGCTTTACAGGAATACGCTGCGAGTATCCCCGTCGGCGGCAGAGCGAAGACGGAGGGTATGGTTGATATTGAAGAGACGGTTGAATATAGGCTAATATGCCAAGAAAGAGCACAGGGGTGGGTGGGGGGTTGGGACAGTCAAGGTTTAGTGGGTTGGAGCATAAGGCGACGTAAAATGAAAACGTCCAAATCGTGATGTGTGCAGCGTAATGGTGAGAACAGAACACAAAAAGGGCAACAAGCAGACCAAGAACTCTAAAGGGTCTGGGGTTACGGTGGATGATCGAGAGAGTGGGGTGTTGTATCCAGTGCCTGCGGTGCTGGTGAACCCATGTCGGACACGGCAGCAAGAGTGGAAAAGGGTGGAAGGGAATTGGTGCCAGGGAGATGAGATGTGGTGGGTAATGGAGGCACAGGAGGTACCTGTTGCTAAAGGTTTGATTTAGTATTGATACAGATGCAATCAACAATCTCTACTCACCACAAAGAAGGCAGGACCTGATCCAGAATGTGGCGTGGGGGGATGACTTCGGGCGTGATGGCCAAAGTACTCAAAAGAAGGGCTGCCCCTGTGACCAGGGCTAACGCCATGGAGAGAAACCATACCACCGGGCATCTTTCTGCTTCCAAGCGTGCTAACACTGTTTCCATCCACATCTCCATTTATACTTCCGCCGGGTGAGTCGAGTGTCCACGGTGCTTGACTGGGCGACCCGGCCAACGTCAAGAACTGCAAGTTGGGCGGACTCATCGAATCAGGCACGTCCGAATGAGCTGGCGAGTTTGCATTGGCCACATGTGGCATTATGGGATGCAGACCCGCGGGTGAGTACAAGGGAGCCCCATTGACGGCCGCAAATGTCGCTCTAGCCTCAAAGTCGCTCACAAATTGGGCATCAATCGAACCCGCTCCAGAAATTAAACTTGGCTCCACAGAATGAGACGATCTCGGCGAGTTTGTATAGCTCTGCAACGACGAGAGCGATGTCGCAGTCCCGTCTGGTCGTGGGCTAAGCCCATAGCTATACGCACTCCTCCGCTTCCGTAACGATCTCCCCGGTCCAGGATCTGAATCCACCGTCGCAAATGAAATGACAGACATTCTGCCGATCGACTGCACATCCGAGCTTGACATCGACTGATCATCATCATCTTCCTTTCGTCGTTTGGTCCTATACTCGTACGATCCTCCAAGCAAGGGCATCCCGCTGTTCGAAGGTTGTAGCCTGGCTTGTCGTCCCGGATTGGCGCCATTTACGCTCAAGGTCGTATTGGTAGCCCCAAAGCTCTGAGCGGCCATGACACTGGGTGGAACGACACCATTTCCAAACGCCGACGTCTCCTCCTTTGATACCTTGGGTTTGACATTGCGTGTGGGGTTGCCCATGGCGAGTCGGCCCGAACTGACGCTCTGGTATTCGAAGTCGGCGTTGCGAGATTTGATTGCTTGGTTGCGCTTCGCCATGACTGCGCGTGAGCGCTCGCGTTGCATCCGTTCTTGGTTCGCGCGCTTCTCCCTCTCGAGACGCTCCTGCTCCTTCTTGAGCTTCTTGGGGTCCAGGGGCGGTAAAGTTGGGGGAGGGACAGGTACAGGTGGTGGGATGGCCTGCTGCTGCTGTTGCTGCATCGCGAGGAAGGCTGGGTTCGTCGAGACTTCGGGAAGCGATCGGCTCTCTGCGCTCGTCGAAGGAGTGTCCTTGAGGGATGGCGTCGACCTTGACGCATATGTAATCTCTTCTACTGGCGGTAGAGAAATCGCTGGTTTGTTTTCCTCGTGCTTGAACATGGATCCAAGCTTCTTGCCAAAGGAGAGCATGCCCGACTTGCCCTGTTGT